TGAAGGCTGAGAAGCAAGTTGCCCCAGATTTTGGCAAGCAATTAAAATTTATCTAGTGGCCCCTTTCAGAGGGATGGAGGCCGAAGGGACTGAGCCAGGACTGACGCACATGTTCTCCCCTGCTTTCCGGAAACACGCCCCATCAAATGGTTCAGGTTACACCTACTACTGTATCTGGCAGACAATTTTTTAAAAATGAAAAATACGGCGGGGCGCGGTGGCTTGTGCCTGTAATCCCAGCACTTTGGGAGGCAGAGGCGGGTGGATCATGAGGTCAGGAGATCGAGACCATCCTGGCTAACACAGTGAAACCCTGTCTCTACTAACAATACAAAAAAATTAGCCGAGCATAATGGTGGGTGCCTGTAGTCCCACTTACTCGGGAGGCTGAGGCAGGAGAATGGCGTAAACCTGGGAGGTGGAGCTTGCTGTGAGCCGAGATCACACCACTGCACTCCAGCCTGGGCGACAGAGTGAGACTCCATCTCAAAAAAAAAAAGAAAAAGAAAAAAAAATAATAGAAAATGTGGAAAGTGGCCAGGCATGGTGGCTCACGCCTGTAATCTCAGCACTTTGGGAGGCTGAGGCGGGTGGATCACCTGAGAGCAGATGTTCGAGACCAGCCTGGCCAACATGGCGAAACTCTGCGTCTACTAAAAGTACAATTTGCCAGGCATAGTGGCAGGTGCCTGTAATTCCAGCTACCCCAGGAGGCTGAGACAGGAGAAGCTTGAACCCGGGAGGCGGAGGTTGCAGTGAGCCGAGATCTCGCCGTTGCACCCCAGCCTGGGCGACAAGAGCAAAACTCCATCTCATTTAAAAAAAGAAAGAAAGAAAAGGAAAAGAAAATGGGGGAAGTACAAAAAGTATACACAACTTATCATTCAGAAAATAACTGCCATGATCAAATACGTGCCACCGTCACCTGTCCTTCTGCAGTGCCCAGAGAAGCATTTGCATTTTCTGTACCCTCGGATGTGTGTTCTACACTGCTCTTTTGTTTTACGAAGAACATTCTGTGTCCTGAGGACAGCTGCCCGTCTGGCTCTGCGGTAGCCTCAGTGCAGCGCCCAGCGCCGTTATGGCAGCCGCTTGGTGAATGGATTGATGGGTTGGCTGAACAAACGGGTGTTTCGACCTGGCTTTGAATCCCGTCTTCTGGGGGCAGTTTCTTGTCCATGCTGAGTTCTCCCCAGGGAGCAAGTCTGCTGCATGTCACCATGCTCTGTGGCTTTGCTGCCAGGGGCTGGTACACTTCCCCTGTCCTAGACATGGACAGTGGTGGCCCAGAAGGGAGGACAGGCAGGACTACTGAGAATGGAAACCCAGGCCGGGTGTGATGGCTCACACCTGTAATCCCAGCACTTTGGGAGGCCGAGATGGGTGGATTGTCTAATGTCAGGTGATCGAGACTAGCCGGGCCAAGATGGTAAAACCCTGTCTCTACTAAAACTACAAAAAATTAGCTGGGTGTGGTAGTGCACATCTGTAATCCCAGCTACTTGGGAGGCTGAGGCAGGAGAATCCTTTGAATCTGGGAGGTGGAGGTCGCAGCGAGCCATGATTGTGCCACTGTACTCCAGCCTGGGCAACAGAGTGAGACTCTATTTCAAAAAAAAAAAAAAAAAAAAAGATTACTTTTCCACTTACCGCATGAAAATCTCTTCCCCAAAGCCAAGGTGCTCACACTTAGGGACAGTGAGGCGCGACATGTCTGTTCTCTACAGAACTAGCCCTGACTTGCGCCTTGAGAGCGGGCGTGCGCCGGGTCGGGGGTGCACAGTGTGTAGGAGGTCAGGCCATGCCGTTTTGGGATGGCAACCAGTTCAGCTCCACGGCGGCACCCAAGCTAGTGATGAACAGGGTAAAGCTTGTCTCTGCTAGGTTTCCGAGGCAAACGGGGCGGGGCTCCACTTCTGTCCCATTCACTGCTGTGGCCTTTGCTCCTAGCAAGGTGTCTGGCATCTGGAAGTGTCAGGCGACGGTGTGGAGGGGCTCAAAGGCCGGGGTCCACAGTTTAGTGTGGACAGTGTCCTGCGGCCTTGGCTGAGATCCCACCTACAGCACGGCACACTGGACTTACCCACGTCACAGCTGGTGAGCTGGGACAGAGAACAGCCACTTGGCTTTGATTCTGATTCTCTTGGTGGGGCAGGGAAATTCTAAGAGTGGCAAAAGCTCCCTAGCAGATCACCGTTCGCTAAGGGCAGACCCTGCTCATGAGCAGCTAGCGAGCTGTCAGGAAATCCAGCCGCCCCATCCCAGGCTGGAGGCCTTGACAGGGATCCTGAAACCGGCGGTACTGGGACTAACCAGCATATCCGAAATGAAAGAATCACCAACAGGAATGGAAAATTCTTTGTAATATGGAAGTTGTAAAGTCAAGTGTTTTAACGGGATTACCTTAGAAACAAGAGGACTGCTTTTTAAAGACACAAGATCCCGCTGCCTTGACAATTCTGTTATCAGAAAGATAGTGGTTTTGATACAAAATAGTAAGAAACTGGAGAATTGCAGGACCCATAATCCTTACAAGGAAGATTTAGAGTGCTGTGTGTCCGTCACTCATGAGCACCAAACAGATATTATCTCAATTCGTCCTGGCAACCATCACTGTCCCTACTTAGCAGTCTCAGAGAGGAGACTCAACTCACGCAGGGGCCAAGAGCTGGACCACGGCCAACCAGGTCTCCCCACCCCGACCCCAGCAACGCCTCTCCCCGCCACGCCACCCCGCCTGACCCTAGTGTCCAGGTCTGCCGCGGCGGCCTCCAAGGAAACAGGACAAAACAGCCTCGCTGCCAACTGCGGGGGCAGCAGAACGACACAGTGGTTGAGCACGGGCTCTGGTGCCGGATGGCGGGGGTTCATATCCCAGTTCTCCCACACCTCCCTGCTTTGCTCCGGTTCCTGGGCCTCTGAGCTGGTCTCCTCCGCTGTGGAGTAACAGTGAGACTGCTCATCTGCACAGATTCCTTCTGTGCTGGACACGGTTCCAACTTTCCAGCTACTCCCGTAGGAGTTCGTTTAGTGGAAACAACAGGATCTTGCTCAGACTGATAGTGAGGAAGAAATGGAAATACCTGTGCAGGGCCCAAGCCCGGCCTGGTGCGGGAGAGGCATCAATAAATGCAGCTTGAGTTCAGAAGCAGCTGGTCTGTGGCTTACTCAGCCTGGCTTCCTGCTGGATCTTCACAGTGCTGGGCTACCTTCCTGGAGAGAACCGAACTCCAGGCTGCGCCGATGCCTGTGGTCCACCAGGGCAGAGCAGTAGCCCATCAGGATGCTTCAGAGGTGGATGCGTCTGAGTTCCATGACATCGGGGACATGGCCCCACTCCTGTTCTGGAGGTCCCGGGCCTGCTGAACCTCTTGTACCAGGTCGGCCACCAGGTTCATCTGGCAGGCCCTGAGAGCCGCCACCAGGCAGGCCACCGTTGCGTTCTCCCTCTCCGTGTTCTTCCAGACTCTCAGTGACTCCCGCACGCGCTCCGTCAGGTTGCGGGGGTATCTGTCCTCGATGCCGTCGATCTTGGCGTCTGAGACTTTGAGCTGACGAGCCAGCCTTCTCCAGTCTTTCCCCACATTATCACATATGACGTTAAATGCTGCACACAGGTCTGAGAAGGAAAGAACAGAGCGGTTTACCGGGGGTTTGGAGACAAGCAACCCCGCAACCCTCCCCAGGGCTTTTCAGCACTGACGCCGAGTGCTCAGGGGACAGAGGTACCTACACGAGCTCCTCCACAGAGGCTAGAGTCGCCTGGCAGCAGAGGGGCTGTCACCAAATGCCCAAGAGTGGCCTGATTCCACCTCAGGCAAACCCCCTGCTCTCCAATACTATCCTAGGAGGTGTGGCCCACTGAAGACTCAAGTGCCAAAGGAAGCTGCAGTAGAGCTACCTACTGACGGCAGGAGACACTGAGGGATGGGCTGGGGAGTTGTCGGAGGGAAGAAAATAGGGTTGATCCCACATCCTGCCCTACAGCAGGTTGAATGATGTCACCTCAAGGGATGTTCATGTGAAACTGCTGAAACTATGAAGGTTAACTTCTTTGGAAAAAGGGTCTTTGCAAAGGTAAGCTGAGGGTCTTGAGAGATCATCCTGGATGCCCTGGATGCACCAGTGACAGGCATCCTCGTAGGAGACACACAGGGAAGGCTGTGTGAGCCTGGAGTGAAGCGGCCACAAGACAAAGAATGCCTGGAGCCACCACAAAGCGGAAGAGACGTGGACGGACCCTCCCCAGCAGCATTCAGAGGGTGTGCGGGTCGGTGGCACCCTGCTTGTTCAGCTTTCTGGCCTCCAGACTGAGGGGATAGATTTCTGTTGCTTTAGGCCACCAGATTTGTGATCATTTGTTATGGCAATCACAGGAAACTAGCAGGCACTCCAATTGTTATTGTGAAAGCTGCCCCGACTGACCACCAGTCTTCAGTCCCTAGCTACCATACTCCTCATCTGCTGACATCACCACTGAGATCAGGGAGCTGGTCACAAGACCATAAAAGGCC